ACATTTAAATTGAAATATTATATTACGTTTTTTTAGAAAACTTTTTTTCCAACAGAAGCAAGCGAGCGAGGGAAAAGAGTCTTGAGAATTGCGTTTGATTATAAATTCTAAGCATCAGTAGGTTTGTTCTAAAAAATTCTGTAAATATTCTCATTTTCGTATCGGATTCAAGGAAAGATTCTAGTAGTGAAAAGGAATCAATAATTTTAGAAATGATAGTTCTTTAATCTAATAGAAAAGAAGTGTTTTTAGTTATTTTATAGAACGAATCGGTAGACATTTAAGGGATTTTTTTCAAATAGAAATAAGAGTATAAGTATGGAAATGAATCTGTCTAACTTCTATTCAAGCAGTTTATGTACCCGCAGACGATTTAACTGATCCTGCCCCTACTACCACATTTGCACATTTAGATGCTGCTACTGTACTATCAAGAGGATTAGCCGCCAAAGGTATCTATCCAACAGTAGATCCTTTAGATTCAACCTCAACTATGCTCCAACCTCGAATCGTTGGTGAAGAACATTATGAGACTGCGCAACAAGTTAAACAAACTTTACAACTTTACAAAGAACTTCAAGATATTATAGCTATCCTTGGTTTAGACGAATTATCCGAAGAAGATCGCTTAATCGTAGCAAGAGCACGAAAAATTGAGCGTTTCTTATCACAACCTTTTTTCGTAGCAGAAGTTTTTACCGGTTCGGCAGGGAAATGTGTTGGTCTAGTAGAAACAATTAGAGGGTTTAATTTGATTCTTTTTGGAGAATTAGACGGTCTTCCTGAACAAGCCTTTTATTTGGTAGGTAATATCGATGAAGCTATTGCGAAGGCTACGAACTTAGAAATGGAGAGCAATTTGAAGAAATGACTTTAAATCTTTGTGTACTAACCCCCAATCAAATTGTTTGGGATTCAGAAGTGAAGGAAATAATTTTACCTACTAATAGTGGACAAATTGGAGTATTACTTAATCATGCGCCTATTGCCTCAGCTGTAGATATAGGTATTTTGAGAATACGTCTTAAAGACCAATGGTTAACAATGGCTCTGATGGGGGGTTGCTAGAATAAACAATAATGAGATCATTGTTTTAGTAAATGATGCGGAAAATGGTAGAGACATTGATCCACAAGAAGCACAACAAACTCTTGAAATAGCAGAAACTAATTTGAATAAGGCTGAAGGCAAGAGACAAACAATTGAGGTAAATCTAGCTCTTAGACGAGCTATAACATGAGTAGAAGCTATCAATGTGATTTCATAACAAGTTGATGTGTCCGAATATCCGAATACAATAAAAATAAAAAAGAAACAGTAAGAAAAGTTAGAAAAAAAGAATCAGTAGAAAAGCTTATTAGATACCAAAATCAAAGGTATCTAATAAGTTCAAACTACACCTTAGCTACTATTGGATTTGAACCAATGACTCCTGCCATATGAAAGCAATACTCTAACGACTGAGTTAAATAGGTAATTTGTGACTCCCCCTAAAAAAAAAAAGAAGAATACTCATCTATCAAATCAATTGATTATAAATGTAATCTTACTGATAAACAATACCAACGCAATATCCATTCAAGGGATTCGATCATGTAATAGTTATCTTGACAAGAAATTAAATTATCTTCGTACTATGATAAATATGTATAAAAAACACAAGGGTTGTAGCTCAGTTAGGTAGAGCACCTCATTTACACAAGCGCCAATGTTTTTTTTCAGAGGAGTTCATCTTGTAATCAAGTTTATCTTCTAGTAAGAAATCAGTGTTTTACTCCATTTTAATGAACAAAACAAGAGAACACTAGGATAATAAGCTAATAAGTTTAGTCTTCACCAGTGAGAAACGAAAGAAGACTTCCATCTCCAAATTTTATTCAAACATAAATCGCTTCTTTTTGGGTGTGAAGCAGTGTCAAACTACCCAACAAGCATTAACTCTCCCTGAAAAGGAGGTGATCCAGCCGCACCTTCCAGTACGACTACCTTGTTACGACTTCACTCCAGTCCCTATCTCGATAGGCCATGGATACAGATATATACAAAGTTTTCGTGTCCTTGATTCCTAAGCGTAGTGCTTCTTTCCTAATGTTGCCTATCAGTACTAGTAATTTAGGGTTGACCTAACCCCATAAGTATAGGTATAACTTTTCGCTTAATACTATAAACCTAAAAATCAAGCATAAGAGGTTGCATAAATCGAGTATACACGACACAAGGGATTAATCCTTTTATTTAAAAATTTCACCTTCAACTAGCGTGGGTTTTTTCCATTTTTTTTACTGAAATCGATAAAAAAAATGAAATCAAATCACACCATCTCTGTAATAAGTGAATGCCTTTTTTCTCCTGAAGTTGTTGGAATTATTCATAATAAGATATTGGCTACAATTGAAAAGGTCTTATCAATAAAATTTTCATTTATCCGAGATCTAGAATTCAAACTTGATTGAAAAGGATCTTTCTGATTATAGAATAATGGGGCAAAAGGATTGATCGT